AAAAGAAAAAAAAAAAGAATGATAATATGTGGAAGCGTGTTAGCTTTGGTGAAGGTTGGAGAACCGGTTGAAACCGGAGGAGTTGTTGATTATGGTTGAAGTGCAAGTTGTGATGTATTTTATATTTGAGCCATTTGACCTATATTTATCTTACCCGACCCATTAAGCCTACATTACACCCACAAAAGTCCTTTTGATTCACTGTCTCATTGATTTGATTGATTTAGAGTAGGGGTTAGACGATAGGCAAGCGTATGATCGATTTAACTGACGACCAATTTGAGTGCTCCTGTCTTCTATTTTTGCAAGAAAATGAGTGAGGCATTTATATCATATCTCCGTATTAGAGAGTTTGTGTTATCATGTGATTGAGTTCATTGTCATGGTGTGTTCTCAGCTCATTGGAATTCTTTTCAACTTAGTTGATCAATTTGAGACTTTTCTCTCTTGAAGCCAGTGTCCACTCTCTTCTGCTTGTTTTGATGCTTTTTCTTTTCTTTTTATTGTTCGGGACGAACAATGGTTTTAGTGTGGGGGAGTTGTTCGTTCCATTTTTGTTAGTGTTTTCATGTCTATTTTATGTTTATTTTTCCCCATTCTAGGTATTTCTTTTTGGCCTTTGGTCCATTTTGAGTCTCGTCTTGCATTTCCTTTGTTTTGTTCGTTTTTGGTCTTTTTGTTTCTTTTCTCCGGTTTTCTGTGCGTTTCTTGTCGGTGGTGATGTGCAGGATGAGTTGCTCGTTGAATGACCATGTGAGGACTACCATATAGGCGGATGAGTTGAGATCGAGTAGAAAGAGACGGAAACCGACTCTGAATCCGGATGCGTGCATACGAGGCTGAAAAGTCACCTTGCCTGAAAGAAAAGCCTTCCCCGCGGCCAGCGACGATGCTTCCGCGGCCCGCGGGGAGCAAAATACTTCGCGCCCAGTTTTACACGCCGCGGCCCGCGACTCTTCCTTCACCGCGGCCGCGGCGAACAAAAGCGGTCCCAGAAGTCCGAACTTCAGAGCAAAAAGTCCCGCGGCCTCGGGAGTTGGTCGCGGCCGCGGAGGTTCTTCGCCACGGCCCGCGAGATGCTCCGCGGCCCGCGGAGGCCGCGACGTGCAGAATTTTATAGCCAGATTTTGTAATCGTCTTTCATGATGTTCTAAGCTAGGTTTTGTTCTTTCTCGTACGAAATAAATTCCAGAACCCATATTTTTTCACTTGGTTCTCTTGGGGATCAATCTTGAGGGTGAAAACTTAGAGATTTGACTCTTGGATTTGGTTTTTCTCTTGTTCTCGACATTGGATTCGTTAATCGTAAGCTTTACTTTCGTTTTCTTTCCGATTGAGATGGCTTTGATTATTGAATATGTTGATGTTGAATGCATAATGAGTAGCTAAATTCATTAGCTAGGGGTAGGGGATTATCGATCCGATTCGATTTCGTTTAAATGCTTGGTAATTGCTCATCTTTCTGAGTTGTGCTTAACCTAGGGTTTAGATGCTTGATCTCCATCTTGATCTAATTAATCCATTTAGAAACCGAAAGGGGATAAATCGTTCGATCTAGGCTCGTTAAGAATAGGCTTGTTCGGTAACGTATTGTCTATGTGCTAATTGATTCGTTAAAGATTTGTTTATGTTTATTCTCTTGTTTCGTGAGATATTGAGAATGAATCTCTAGATGAGTTAGTTTATCGAGTCCTTTAGTCGAGTAATTCATTGCTTGTTAAATGCATTCAGAACCGGAAGCGAAATCCCCAATACCCTAGCGCCTTAATCATAATTGTTCTTCGTCCTTGCTTACTACTTTCTCTGCTTTATATAATTATTTGCAGTAGTTGATAACTAAAAACCCATCCAATTATTTGAGTTAGAATGTTTAGGAATTTTATTTCTTTTATTTCTTTTAATTGTGTTGAATAAACGTGCTTAATAATCCGGCTAACCTTCCTTGCGATACGACCCGGGGAACGAATCTTTCGATTCTACTACGGTAAAAATATTTACAACATCTGGTCCCCTCCCATTATGCCCTTAGTTCGAAGTAAAAGCTATTCCAATTCAAAATCCACGAAAATCGCGACTGTTACAAATCAGGGCCATAGCGCCGCTATGGGTGGAGATGCTCGAGCCTCTGCCCATCGCTTTGCTGTGTAGAGCCACTAGCTGGGTTGGCCATAGCGGCGCTATGGCCATAGCGGCGCTATCCTGGGCAGCTCTGCATGAATTCACGGTTTGGGCTCGTTCGGGCTCGTCCGGTATCGGAATTCAATTCCGCTTTTTGTTGTGCGTTCCCAGCGAGCTCCTCTATTTACTTACTCTTGTCCGAATAATTTTTGCATAAAATTCGGTCCTCCCGAGGCTTCCAACCTACACACCAAAAGCAAAGAAAACCCGAAAAAACATACGAAAAACACAAGAAAAACCGAAAAAGATCATATCACGCAATAAACTACGAAAATGAATAAAACCCAACGAAAAGACTCAATATGGGAGAAAAAGAAAGACAAAAAGACAACGAAAAATGTAACAAAAATGGGACAAACAGCGGCATCCACAAAACTAGGGGATCCCGACCACCAACCAGCAACGACTTTCGGGAAGTCGTCATGTAGGAGCCACGGGGCTAAGAACCGAAAAGGCTTTGTTCCTCGAGACGTGGGTGTTCCCGGAGAGCAGCGAACGACAAGAGGGGTATGGTCGGATTGTAATCGCGTCGCATGGAGCACAAAAGCCTCGGGAAACATATCCAGCCAAAGCTCATTACAGAGAAACCTATCCAATTTCTGAGAAAGGTCTCGACGACACCAAGTAAATTGAGTTCCATGGGTTTTGACTTCATGAAGACCATGGCCAAATAAAAGCAGCGCATGCATGTCCTCGATTAGGGTATCTAATGAGTTCCATGAATTAAAAATCCCCTCTCTTTCTAGAGCGTCGATAGTTCCATGAATTGGATTTGCATTTTTCTGATCTTTAGCTTACCAGCATCCTTGCACTTTAGGGTTGCTGGGTCTTTTCCTCCTCCTCTGCTAGTCGTGTTTCGTCTTAGTGTTAGGGCTTAGGGCTTTATTTTCAGCTTTGCTTCTAGTTTTGCCTTTGCAGGGTTGGTTTTTTAGCTCGTGAAGTATGCGTTTTTGGTGAATTTCAAGGAAGCAATGGAACAAGATACTATTGATAAGGAGCGAGCGGGGATAATATTGTCGGAGCTGATATTGAGCCAGGAGTTCCGGAATGCGCCCTAAGCCTGATCGGCAAGATAGTGGTGCAAAATAAAGCGAATGTGGGGGGGACTAAAGACGAAAATGGGGGTCATCTGGAAAACAAGACGACCCTTCTTAGTCCGAGTTCTGGGACAAAATCTTTTTCAATTCCTATTCAAAGCATAGGAAAATAAGTGCAAAGTGTTTAAAGGGGAAGAGACTTGGTCCTTTGATTGTCAGTATCTTCCTGAGGAGTGGAAGAAAGATGATCTAAATTTCACGGAGGAAGAACTCAAAGTGGAATTGTGGGTTCAAATTCACAATTTTTTCACTCCATTAGATTTCAACACAAACAAGCTTAAAGGTGGGACAGATTTTTGACAGAGTGTTAGATGTAATATCTCGGAGGCAGGTAGTACGAATAGAAAATTGATCGAGATCCTGGCGGAAGTGAGCCGTTACCGCGGGGAACAAACATTAAAATGGGGAAAGAGTAGTGGGTTAAGTTTATGTACAAAAACCTAAGACATTTTGCTTCTATTGTGGTAGAATTGGCCATAGTGATAGGATAGTGATAGGATGTGTGTTGTTAAAAAAATAGATATCCAAATGAATGTGGTTTGAACGGGGCAATTTGGGGAATGGCTAAGTGGTTCATTCGTGGGATTTTGTGAGTCTAAAGATAGGAAATCTTCCAAGCCCTGATAGTATCACGTTGAATTCCGAGTGTCCTAGTGTTGTGGCTGGGTGATGCGATTGAGAAGTATATGAGCGGGAGTAGTTAATTTTAATTATGCATGTTAATTATTTAGATAGAATTAGTATGTTAGTTTATAATTTAAATATTTGAATGGTTAGTTATATGTTAGTTACAATTTGAATATTTGAATGTATAGATTTAGGCTATAAAAAAATGCATGTACTCATGATTGTAAAGGGAAATAGGAAATCAAGTTGAAAGTAACAAAAATTAAGAAAAAGTCTCGTTTCCAAGTACTGTCTTCGTGAAAAACCAAGGCCGATAGTGCGGGTTTTTCACTTATTAATGTGTTAGACCAAGGCCGTCAGTGCGGGCTTACACATTTTATCGTGTTTGAACCAAGGCCGTCAAACCAAGGCTATCAGTGCAAGTTCTTACACAAAATCGAGTCTACACGATCTCCATCACTGGTCAGGGACTAAGGTTAGTCAGGATCAAAACTTTGATGAGAATTTGGGTGGTGAGAAAAAATTTCAACTGGTAGAGGTCTTAGATAAAGAACATGGGGTAGGGGTGGTAAGGGAAGGAGGGAGGAGAAGGTGTGTGATTAAGAGAGAAGTCTGTAATTATTGAGCCAGTGAAGCTTTGATGTAAACAAAAGCCTCTCTTTAGAACCTTGTAATTTACTTAATGTGGCAGTTCATAAGGGCAAAGTCTGTCCCAAAAACTCTGAGATCCTTTACTAGGCTAACAAGAAGGTCACTAAAGCCAAGGATAGTCTGTGTCTAAAGCCAAGGACAAAGTTCGTGAAGAAACTAATCAGATTGTGTCAGATCCAAAAGAACAGAAAATGGATGCAGAGTTATAGCAACAATAAGGTGGAGAAACCCAACAAGAACTTGATTAGTATTAATATCCGAAACACGGTAATGATCCACCGAACACCCCATGGCATCAAGGCCTTCTTCTCACACTCTCCACAGATGATCACAAACCCAAACCCAAATCACAAATGCAGAACACACAACCGCATAGAAACAGAAAACACAGCTAAAAAGTCAAAACACCACCACATAACCAGCAGCAATCAGAAAGCAAAGCAGTGTCTAAAAACCATGAATCTTGATTTGGTCCTTCTTGACAATCCCGGCCGTGATCAAGAAGTGGGACACGTTCTTGCGCTGGTCGCCCTGCAGCTGTATCACCTTCCCCAGCTCCTTATCGTGGACCACGTTACCATTGCAGCAAAACTCCTTCTTGAGGTCCTTAAGAATCCGTTCGTAGCTGAACTCCCTCTTCAGGCCTTGCACAGTGGTCAGGCTCTTCTTACCATTCCTCTGCTGTATGCGGATATGGACATACTCTTTAGCACCCGGGGCGTCTGTATCTTTCGCCTCCGCAAAGGGGTCGTAAGCTCTCGGGATCTGTATGTCTATCTCAACCATGTATGTGTTGCTTTCGATTGGGGGGACGGACTTCTCTCTAACACAAGCTTTTTTCGTCAACTGCTCAAAAAAAACAAACTGCATTTTTTAGGACATAAATCCAACAAATCCAACGTTGTTATTAAGTACAAAAAAATCCGAGATAAACGGATATCATCAACACAGAGATTATGAAGATCAAACACAGGCAAGATCACTAATCCTTGATCGGGAAGATCTAAAAATTAAGGACTGAATTAAACAGTAAATCAAAATAGATCAGGTATGAAATCGCAACTTTTCAGGGTAAAAATCTGAATCTAGGAAGCCGTCATAACGCAATCATATATGCAATTGAAGATCAAACGGATCACGAAAAACCTAGGCGGAGAAGATCATTCTAGAAATAAAGAGACAATCATCTCCTGAATTAATTGAAAAAAAAAAAAAAAATTGCAAATCACATAGATCTTGAAATTGGGACCATTAGAGAGGTATATGAGACTCACCTCTCAAATGTATGTTGTGGTGGCTCCTGAGGATTCTGAAGAGATGAGTAGCTATGATCATCGAGGAAGCCTATTTATAGGCGAAAAACACGAAAGTCGGTTTAGTATTTATTTATTTTTAATTTGTAATTTTATTATTATTATTTCCAATAATAAACAGAAGAAAAAGGGGTGGTGGGCAAATTGGCCCAACGCGTAGATTCGACGCAATCTTTGTGGTCAGATTATATGCTGAGCGGGTCCCACTGTGTGGATTGAAAAATGCTTTCACTTCGAAATAAGTTGGCTGAAGTGGTAAGCAGCCTGATGTCGTTTAAGCAAGGTTTCGAGTTCTAGTCCTTGTGAATGCACATACTCTTTGTTGGGAGACTCACGCACTATTGTCAGGTGCGCGACGTCGACCAACGAATTAGTCGGGGCAAAGCTTCGAATACCAAAAAAAAAAAGGAACAAATAAGACGCTTCTGGACCCTTTTTATGTTTGAATTTCTTTTCTTCGTCATTATCAAGTTGGTTACTTTATATATTTTTAGCTAGTAAGTAAAATAAAGAGCCCACCATTGTTTCATCTTAATTAACATCTTTTAGATTTACTATAAGTTAGGTCATGCAAATGGATACAAATATAGGAGAATGCTACCATCCCGTAATGGAATGGTTCCGTTGTGTTTTCTAGCCATAGATATACATGTAATCTAGTAATGGGTAGTTAATCTAACGCTTAAAAACACAACGGAACCATCCCGTAACGGGATGGTAGCATTCTCCACAAATATATTCATCCTCAATTTTAATCTCTAACTCGTAATCTAACTAAATTTTACTATCCAAATTATTACCGATATAATTATATAATATCAATCAATGATATTTACACAACATATTAACTTTAACTTACTATTCATCTACTCACATAATTTTAACTACATATCACTTCTAATTATATATCTCTTACTTTTACATCAAATTAATTTTAATTATTGTATTTTAAAATATTATATTAATACAAACTTAAATTATCACTAAAAACTAATCAAACAAACTTTTTCAAAATTAGTTATGTTAACCAACAAAAATCAAATACCAATATATATATATATATATATATATATATATATATATATATATACTCACACCCATGTTGTACATATTTGGAAAAAAATTTAATTTTAGTCCACTTTATTGACCATTTTCCGAAAAAAATTCCCTTCATACAGGGCGTCTTCAAAAAAGGTTCACGATTGTCACTTTATTTTCTGTTTCTTTTGTTTTATAACTTTATTTTGCACTTCTGTGAGATTTAAATCAAACAAAATAATTTTGAGCAATAACAAGCAGCAAGGGTGATTAGATAAAAATAAAACCAATTTTGATTGAATTTAATAAATAAACCAAGTTAATTTTAAATAAAGTTGAGTGAACTGATAATTAAGTGAATTTATCAATTTCAATATAAATATTAGTTAAAAAGCAACATGATGAAATTTGATATGATAATACAAGATGGATTACTGAAAATAATAAGTAACTATATATGTGATTGGATAAAAAATAAATTAAAATTGATGTATGTGAATATGATTTATTGTTATTACTAATCACATTAATAATATTAAAAAGAATTGAGTTAAATTATATTGTGTAAAAATAATATTATTTTAGTCAAAACCAATTTTAACCGATAGTCAATCTCCTTATAAAAAAAAAACAAAAAAAAAAAAAAAAAAAAAAATTGTGCCACACACCTCTCCCTCTCTTTTAGGGAGTAAAACTTGCAATGCGTCTTTCCATCCGTTGTGCAAAAAGGCAAAAGCAAATACATTGTTGGTGACACTGATCCAAGGTGCACGTGGTGGAAGTTGCTTATTTTATTGAGAACGTTTCTGAAAATACGAGGAAAAAACCAAACTGTCCAAAGCATTTGCACCAGTCCCGTCTCGATCAATCATATAAGCAAGCCAACGAGACGTCTGCTAGACGAGGTTACCTTAGAAAATTCCCAAACTCCCGACTCGTATTTTTGCAAATTTTACTGCTTGGTCAGATTCCGAACAACAAAAGGAAGGATGCCTCCGTGGTCGAAGTATGCAAGTTCAACCTGCACATGCAAATCATGATAAATAGTTACGAATCACACACATGTTCTCTTGGCTTTTCCAGAATCCTTTTATCTAAATGTTTACCTATACTCACATTTTTGGAGAGCCCGAAAATGGAAATCTATATAAATGAAGAAAAAACCCTTGCAATGCATTAATTAAGTCAAGCAATCACAAACATGGGACCCGCTGTGTTTACCTCTGTGTCAAAGCGCAAGGTGCATGTAAAAGATTTTCCATTATCAGTAGTGACAGTAATATCTTGCCCGGGCCTAATATCGCTTGCTATTGAAGGAAGGGCGATCGTGTAGCGCTCGTAGCCAGTCAACCCGAGTGTATCAGCATCCTCGCCGGGCTTGAAGCACAGTGGAATAATACCCATCCCTACCAAGTTACTACGGTGAATCCTCTCAAAACTTTTGGCAATCACTGCCTTCACGCCCTGTTTTTACCCAAAACGACGAAAGGTAAATTAACTAAAAGATAAACAAGATTCTCGTTTGCAATTGAGCTACAGGTAGCTATATTAATAATTGCCAATTACAGATCACAATTCACCATACAGATTTGCAAACATCACTCACCTGTAACATCGGTCCCTTAGCAGCCCAGTCTCGGGAACTACCGCTTCCATACTCTGCTCCAGCCAGAATAATGGTACCCAGTCCGGCCGACTTGTATCTCTGACAAAAGTAACTCATTCAAGTTAATATCAATACGTAGATAAAAAGAGAGGAGAAGAATAAAATGCAGCTAAACAAGTTGCAATTTTTCTTTTCCTGTTTTAGCAAAATAAAGCAATCTGCTTCGCATAATGTATTAGATTAACGATAGAAACCACTGGGAGGTATAATTTAAAGAAACCAATCAACCATTTGAAATTTTGACTAAACACAACATATGGGAAGCATAGGTTATGGCCCTTTTTTTCTCTTTTAAAAATATAATAAACTGGAACCGTGGTCATTGTTTATGCAACTTCTTCCCAGATATAGAGTTGAATAAAAGCATGGAGTGCTAAATCATCAAACCCATACCATTGCAGCGTCGTACACATTAAGCTTCTCCCCTGTCGGAATGTGAATGGTCTTGGGCCCCACTTCACCGTTCAACAGTTTGTTTACTATTCGGATATTGGCAAAAGTACCCCTCGCCATCACTTCATCATTGCCACGCCGGCTACCATAAGAGTTGAAATCCTTACGGTCAACACCACGATCCATCAAGTACTTTGCAGCAGGGCTGTCCTTGTGGATGCTTCCAGCTGGCGAGATATGATCTGTGGTGATACTGTCTCCGAACAGCAGCAAGCAATAAGCGTCCTTCACGCCACGTGGACCAGGTGGGTCCATAGTCATCCCACTGAAATATGGAGGCTTGTGGATGTACGTTGACTCAGAGTCCCACGCATAGAGACTTGATGAAGGCACCGATAAGTGGTTCCAGAACTGATTTCCATTGGTGATAGCTTCGTAGGTACTCTTGAACATTTCGGGAAGTACACTGGATTGAACAGCCTACGCGAGCAATATTTTAAATTATTTCATTTTATTACTTATCTATGGTTTTATGCAGTGAGAAAAATTAGCAAGGATCTGGTATAATATGAAATCATGAATCAAGAAAATCAAGAATAACCTCTGCAACTTCTGCACTGGTTGGCCAGATATCCTTGAAATAAACATTTTTCCCATCTTTTCCAGTTCCGATTGGCTCCTTCTCAAAGTCGATGTCAACCTATAAAGGATGAAAGATTAAGCAATAAGTTGAAACTTCATAATAATTTGACGCGAATTTGCACTAAGATTAGTTCCAATTATAAAATAAATGAATGCCGAAGGATCTATCCTCAAGCCAACTGCCAACCTGAGCATGCCCAAAACCCTAAATCAACCAGGTTCCCTTCTACATCCTCCAATTCCATAAAGAAATGCAAAGGTGCTACTTTCTAATACAATATAGTTCGATTGCGCCAGAATATCCCATTTACACAAAGACAATTACACATAACTGACCACAACATTAAAGAGATAAAATATTCCAACTTTGGCCTATGAATTCTCACAAGGTACGGCACAGCTACCCTTAAAACTGTCTTACCGTGCCAGCAAGTGCGTAGGCCACAACCAATGGTGGTGAAGCAAGGTAGTTTGCTCGAGTCAACGGATGAACACGACCTTCAAAGTTCCGATTGCCAGAGAGCACAGCAGCAGCAACAAGGTCTGAGAATAATGTCTCAGATGTTTAGGGGGCGATTGTATACAAATTCAATAGTAAAAAATCCAATCAAAACTCAAATTTAACTCAACTTTAACTCAATCCCACTATCCTCAATATTTTCAATATAATTAAATAATATCAACCAATAATTTTTACACATCACATCAACTTTAATTCAATATTCATTTACTCACATAATTTTAACTATCACTTCCAATCATTTTTCTCCTACTTTACATCAAATCAACTTTAATTATTTTATTTAAATATTATTTTAATATATCCACAAACAACTAATCATACCACCTTTTTTCAAAATTAACTATAGTCAAAAAATAAACCAACTAAAAACTAGTTCAATCCATAAACTATCGCCCCCTTAGTAATTTGTAAATATAGAGCAATAAAGCCACGATATGGGCGTATTGTTTGATTTGTAGCTAAGAGAAAATCCAAATTCGATTCCCTAAAACAAGTATAATTAATTCCATGTTCACTCTAAATGGCAGAGAAGTCATAAATAGACACCACGCTCATTAGACACATAGGTTATATTAAAAATGAGTTATCAAATGCTTCAGTTTCAATGACAGTATCAGTTGACTATGTTTCTTAAAGTCCTACAAGAAGAATAAACTATGTACATAAATCTTTTACTAGTGATGATTTTGATATTATTCTAGAATCTAGAAGTATGCTTCCAGAAGCTTGATATATGTCTGCGATGCACCAAAAATCATTGTAAATCAGGAAAACTGTGGGCAAATTTTATGCCAAAACTTAACAGTCTATGGATAGAAGGATAGTGTCATTTCGAAAGTACACTAATTAGAGAACCAACCAACACAACTTCATTTTAATAGGCTAACGATTCCTTCTTCCGGTTTCATGGTCAATGGATGTAATAAGTTAGGGAAGTGACTTTAATCCCTTATCATTTTACCAAGGAAAAAAAAATACGATAGTAGTAATCAGATTAAAGAATATCTCCACTCAGGTTCATCATCAATATAAGTAGAGAAATATAACTATAAGGGAAACATACCATTGTCAGCTATTGCTGAAGCAACTGATTCATCAAGATCTCCAGAATTACCAATACAAGTCGTGCAACCATAGCCAACAATATTAAAGCCTTGCTGGTTCAAGTAATTTTGCAGTCCACTGTAAGAAGTTACAAACCAATACAGAGTACCAACATAAGTGTATTAACTCAGAAGAAATGGATATGATACAAATAAATGATGGTTGAAACTGGACCTCTGGAGTAAATATTTTGTTACAACTCCAGAACCTGGGGCAAGACTAGTCTTCACCCATGGTTTAACCTGTCCAATAATCATCAAACTGATAGTAAATAAATGCTACGATTGATCATTATTGGACTGCATGCCAAGAAAATAGTTATACAAACCATAAAAGTGCAGTGGTGTGGCCAAAAGAAAGTAAGATTAGGAAGAAGAAAACCTGCACATGAGATTCAAATAAGATTTACTACTAACCTCTAACCCAAGTTCACAAGCCTTCTTTGCAACAAGACCAGCTCCAAGCATCACACTAGGGTTAGATGTGTTTGTGCAGCTTGTAATAGCAGCTATGACAACACTCCCATGCTTAAGTTCGGCAGGCTGCCCCTTGAATGAAAACTTTACAACTTTGTCCTGATCTTCCTTTTTTACGGCAAAACCCTGCAAGAATACAAAAGTTTATGTCAAATTTAATTTATTCTCACAGGAAAATAATACAACACGAATATGAAACAGGAAAGGCAACAGTAACACGAATCTTCCAAGACAAATTTCTATATATAACAAATAGCTGTCAATATCAAAGTTATTGTCCCCCAATTCTATGTATTTGGTTGCGCATGATTTTGGAACATATGAAACGTCAAGGGTGGAGCAAAATATTTTGCATCTTACTTTGAACCCAACTTTATTGTCCAGACAAGAATGCCAATCACCCTTCATATCTTTCAGTGGTACTTTATCGTGAGGCCTATTTCAATGCATAAGAACTTATTAGTTCACACGTACATGCACTAATGGAGGAAAATAGAAGTTTTGGATTTTCTGTGGTATGGGTAAATACAGAAGTACCTTTTAGGTCCAGAAATACAAGGTTCAACATCAGCAAGATCCAACTCCAGATAAGACGAAAAGACTCTCTCTTGTTGGGGCTGTGCCGAGGATATCACTAAGGTAAGTTCACACTCATGCTTGCTATTCAAACGCAAAGAAATAAATCACAAGTCAAAAGCAATTACCTCATTGTAGTCCACAAACATATGGTTCGCACGTAAATACGCCTCAATCATTGCTACCTGAAAATTTGAAGTAGAATACACAAAACTCGGTATGAGGACAAATTTCTTAACAAGAAAATATGGTAGGAAAAGGTATGAGCCGCCTACTGTCTCATCACTTCTTCCAGTCAATTTCAGATATTGTAGTGTGACATGATCCACAGGGAAGAAACCCATGGTGGCTCCATACTCAGGAGCCATATTTGCAATAGTCGCTCTATCAGCTAATGGTAACTGACCCATGCCTTCCCCTAAACACATGAAAGACAACTATATATACAACCAAGAAACAAACGAGAAACATAGAGGAACTTCTAAATATTAATTGACAGGAGTACCGTAAAATTCAACAAACTTCCCAACAACACCATGCTTTCTCAATATTTGTGTGACTGTTAAAACCAAATCGGTAGCAGTAACTCCATCACGCAATTTTCCAGTCAACTTAAAGCCAACAACACCGGGCAGAACCATGCTCATGGGCTACCAAGTTTGCAGGAGAAAATAAAATTGAGATTAGATAAAATTAAAATCTGGCTCGAATGCTTAAGACTAAAATAACAAACAATAAATAGTTGAGGCATGCAAAGAGTAAGAATTTCCTGAAATGCATACAACATCATGCAAGAACAAGTGAATAAGGAATCTTCAAAAGAGAAAACATGTTCTACCTGGCCAAGCATTGCAGCCTCAGCTTCAATTCCTCCAACACCCCAGCCAGCAACACCCAGTCCATCAATCATTGTTGTATGAGAGTCAGTTCCAACAACACTATCAGGGTACAGAATGCCTTCGGTGTTGAACACAACCCTTCCGAGATATTCGAGATTCACCTGGAAATTATTAAAAGCTTTTCACCAACCTTTAAAGCTTTGAAAACATTTAACTATAGACTGCCGATACTGAAGCACATCCTACCTACGACATCAAGTTACCCCTCACAAGTTTAAATGTAAACAGATATTGCAAGGTATAAGATTATTAATACCTGATGAACAATACCAGAACCAGGAGGAACAACAAGCATATTGCGGAAGGCCGTTGATCCCCATTTAAGAAAAGCAAACCTCTCTTTGTTTCTCTTGAACTCAAGGTCCATGTTGGCCTGAACTGCATTCTCTGATCTGGCCACGTCCACCTGAACAGAGTGATCGATGACCAGGTCCACAGGAACCTGCACACAATATTATTACACATGACGGCATCAAGTCAGGGATACTCCATCAGCCTATATATCCTTTTACTCTTCAACAAAGTTAAGAAAACTGACATGCAGATAGGCAAGCAACTTGCCTTTTTAATTCTTGACCAAACTTTTCAAATATATTTCTTTTGACATAACACTTACAACCAAGAAATTACACGTTTTTACCAATGTGCTCTATGCATTAAATTTTAAAAGAAAAACTAAAAAGAAAAGAAAAAGTTACAAAAGAAAGAGAATAATAAAAAATAATATGTTTGACATGGTCAGCAGATTGCAGGGTGATTGTTGAAAAGAGGAAACAAGTGTACCAATGGATTGATCTTGTCCGGATTACTACCGAGATCCTTGATAGCCTCCCGCATAGAAGCCAGGTCAACAACAGCAGGAACTCCAGTAAAATCCTACAAAATATAACCCAAATGTAAAAAGTAAAAGGCATATTACAAAAAGGCTATGTAAGAACATTCAACAACACCAGCTCATCTCTCTTACCTGTAACAGAACACGAGCTGGCTTAAAGGGAATTTCAACTTGTTTAGGAGCCGAATTTTTCCAATCAATGATCTTATCCACATCCTCCTTCGTAACTTGAAAGTTGTCACAATTTCGTATAGCTGATTCTAGAAGTATCTTGATTGAATATGGAAGCTTGTCTGCAATAAGAAATATGTAAATGCAATGCAATAAATGTAGTTTCATTTATGGAAAAAAAAAAATAAAAAAAATCAGCAAGTAAATATCTAGCATGACTGAAGAAAATTATCCACTTCACCCAGCACATCTGATGAATCAATAAGAAAATGAGCTGATTTGTGGTAAAGATGATCATCCTTAGAATGGGATTTGCACAAACTCAGAAAAGAGCAGATCAATCATTGTAGAGTCACATGCACATTGCAGGAACCATTTAATCAATTGTTCTAGAGTTAGATGTACATACTAGTAACCATTTGATCAACCATTATGTACATAGCAAAAACGATGGATGGTGCATCCAAAACTAACACGAGAAAAGCTGAAAATCAAATGGCTCGTCAACCAAATCCTTACCAATTCTAGGATCATTCAAAGCAGGAAGGCTATAAAACTTTCCGAATTCACCTCCTTCAGGCTTTGGGAGACCAAATAAAATTCCCTTGAAAGGATGATCAGAAGCTGCAAGTGATGGCAACAATTATTACACATTCAAGCAATCCAAGAAAATAATGACTTTTGAAATCCTAAGCATCATATCAACAGCATAAGTAAGGAAAATAGATCAAACAGATAAGGATCTTTATCGTGGAAATGGAAACTAACACAAAAACTAAATAGCATGTATTATATTATTATAGAAGGCATGTACCTTAGAAGTAAATTGTTGGAATTGCAACTCACACTTCAACACTACAGTAACTAAAAAACGTCCAATCTGAATGTGCTATACATTTTGTAGATCGGTAGGTCCAAGGCTTGATATTGAGTCTTAATGATCACATGCAGAAAGATCTAGGTTTTATGAAACTAAAAAAGAGAAAAATAGAAGGGCTTCATCTAGAATTTGCAGAAAGAAAGCTACTATGCATGTGTCTTGTTCCTTGTGCTTAGGCCAAACCTATGATTACATTCCAAGGACACCCTATGTAAAACCTTAAAAATTAAAGAACAAAAAAAAAAAAGATTAACACTTATGACAAACTTATGAGCACTAAAACTCGCTGAGAATCAGTAACTACCTAAAACGTTTCAGACCAAATAAGTCGAGTAAGATCATGATTCATGATTAGTCATCCTCAACTATCCAAACCCAAATTTTTGTGTAGACAATGAACACTAATCCAAGAAATCCACGTTAGCAAATTATTATAAAACAGTTACCGTCGATCGACACAAAAAACCACCGAATAAAATAGAATCAGGAAGTAACCACTGTAAATTGACAAATATCCAAAATAGATTTCCAGACATCAATCACAGAACACACCACATGCACGATAAAGGAACACTATAAAGAACCATAAATTTTGACCAAAAATGAGAAGCAAAACCAATCCGAACACCAGATTTAGGAAAAAGAAAAAGAGAAGTGAAATCGAGAAAGAGAAAATGAACAGAGAGCAAATCTCATCATACCCATGGCAGAAAACTTCCTCTAGAACTGTTCAAAAACAGGAGACGAGTACTGATCTGAGCTCTAAGACTAACCGGAGACCGAAGCCGACAACGTAGCTCCACCGCGGATCAGCAAACCGTATCGATCGGAAAATTTCCAACGAGAAGCTCAATGATCGGCAGCTGGTATTGGATAGAGATGGATTTCTGCAGAGTGTTGTAATAGGGGAAGAAAACAAGCGGTGAACGGAAGAAGAGAAGCAAGAAGCAAACAGCAGGACGACAAAGATGGTGGATCGTAGTAGGTGGGAGTATACGAGTCTACTAGTAGGTGTTCTAATATTACTTTTCAAAAACCAAACCCCACTAGACATAAATTAATAGGTGTGTTGTTTATAAATTACTAGTGTTCCACCTGTGCATTTGCACAGATATATAAATAAAGTATTGTGAGTTATTTGTATTTATATAATGATTAATGATTTTTTGCCAATTTTACAATTAAATGAGCTGAAATATTTATTTTTTTAAATTGTGCTTATCATATTGGATGTAATGTATATTTTGATATATATCTTTTTTTGTGAAATTATTTATTATTTATTAAGTAATTTCAAATATATTTTTTTTATTTTCTAAAAGAAGTTAATTTAAATGTAACCACAATAATAACATCTAATCACATTAAATAGTCAATACATTATATGATCAGTTGTAAGTAAATGAAAATTTTAAAATGATATTTGTAATTTTGAAGTGATTAGTGTGTTGATTATTTAATAATTAAATGAGAGGTTAAATATATAAAAAGTAACGGGTTTTGGAGGGAAAAAATTATATTGCCACATAGGTATAATTTAATAGGTTTTATTAAATGCTCATTAGCCAGCAATTATATATATATATATATATTTAAATTTACTAGTACAACACCCCTGTGTATTACACGGGTGCTTGTTAATTTTTTTTCTTAAAATCTAAAATTAAAGAGAAAAAAGTAGTTTGAAAATTTAAATACCTTTTATAAGAATATATATATTATTATATATTGAGAAGGGATCATATGAGAATGAGATATGGTGAAAGAAATAAGAATGAATCTCTATCATTAGATCAATGATATTAATGGACATGATGGAGTCAAATTTTATTATATGCTAGTCAATCATTAATGGCAATATCGTAAATACTTATATTTAGCATGGTCAAACTTAATCACTTGACCACTAAATAGGGACAAATAAGACATTACACCCATGTGGGCCCCACCACTATCTCCATTAATTTACTTTCTTCCTCACATAAACACATAACATCACGCACTGTACACACATATAATACAAACACGCATCTCGCCGCCGACAATGGCAACCCCGGCGGCCGGCTTTGTAAGTGCTGCCGCCGGACACCACAGCATCGTCGCCTCTCGGCCATCAATCGCTGCCGGACATCACAGCGCGTCGGACATCACAGCACCGTTGACTGGCCTTCAAAGAGATGTCGCCTGGCCGTCAGAGCTCCGCCGCCCGTCCAGCACTGCCACCTCAAACGTCGTCGGCCACACGTCTCCGACGACATAAGCCACCCATTCGCCACAGCCCGCCACCATCATCACCAACAGTCGGTCGCCAGTCAACAACCCCACCACCACCGCCTCCAACAGCCCCGCCACCATCGTCGGAGCTTGTCGTCGCCACCAGATCTGTCTAGCAACCTGGAGTAACGCCGATTATTCGAGACCGCAAAATCAATCTTCGAATCCGTTTGACAAACGGACCTGAATCACGGGCCTCCATGTCAGCGAGGGAGGCCGGCGGGAGAGAAGAAGACGGCGGCGGGGCCCGTCCGGAATAGATGGTCGAGATGTGCGGGGGTACAGATTTCATGTTTGGATATTGGGTGCAGATTCAAGATTTGGATATTTTGAGTTGTGGTTTGTTGTTGGAAAATAGAAAAAAATGAAGGAAGTATTTGCAATTTTTGAATTTTTATATGTTGATTTGTAATTGGTATATTTGATGAATATCTACACAATATTCATTAAATGCACAATAATTTATTATTTGCATTATGAATAAAAATAATAAAAATTGTCAATCGCGCACAAAATGTGCACAATGTCCGTTGTGCCGAAATTGTGAGGCAAAAAAAATACGATCGTTTTTTTTTTTTTTTTTNNTTTTTTTTTTTTTTTTTGTCGTTTCATAACTTCATTCTCTATGGTGCATTTTGGTATTCATTAATGTGCAATTCATCTAACACTATTGTGTGATTATATCACAGGTAATAAATCATACATTTTTAATAATTTGTATCGAATCGTAGTAAAACTAAATCGAAATAATCGAGATATTTGTACAATTAACCGAAATAATTTAAATACTCGTAGTAGTTTATTATTTATGTTATAAAAGAATAATTAATATTTTTAATATTTTTACTTAATATTTTTATATTATATTTGGTTGAAAACAAATATTTAAATATATATATATATATATATATATATATATATATATATATGTTTACATATATATATATATGTGTAATTTTGTTGGTTCGGTTATTTAAGTTATATTGTAAAATAAAGACGACATCGAACTAAATAAAATATTTAAAACTAAAAAAAATAATCGAACAAAAATATATATAAACAAAATGAAATGTAAGATTTACAACGGTCGATTGTTTGCTATTTAGTATAAAAATTATATTTAATATGTTAATAGTGTTATTTATTATTTTTATATTATTGCTGGTTGAAATATTGGGGGTACGGTCGTTTCGATATCTTTTGTACAATTTGATAGTCGTGATAATGTGTAGTGTGTTGTTCTGTATAGTGCAACGTAATAATTTATAAAGTGCAACATGTTGATGTATAAGGTGCAACGTATTGATTTATAAAGTGCAACATATTGATGTATAAGGTAAACTACTGTAATTTCGGTACACTGTCATTCTTGTGTTTTTTGTGGATAACAGAAGTGATTGATATTAAAGTGTTATGTACAACCGTTTTTTAAATTTATGTTGTGTTGTATTTTAATATGAGTTGTCGACATTAATTGTGTAGTGTGATGATAAAGTGCAATGTCTTGTTTTATAAAGTGCAATGTATTGTTTTAATTGATATAATTGTACACCGAATTAACTTAAATCATTAAAATATCTTTTTATTTATTATATAATTTACTTATTATTATAAAAATATTTAATATTATTTTAATAAATTGCATTATTTCAATTGTAGAGTGTACTGATAAAGTGCAACATGTTGTTTTATACAGTGCGACGTGTTGTTTTACAATGTGCAACGTTTCGATATATTAAGTGCACTAATCTGTAATTTCTCATATAAATTATGTGTATTCGATAACTATTTTTAATATAAATAATTGTAAATAGAATTAACCTAAATAATTAAAATATATTTATATTTATTATTTTATTATATAATTCATTTATTGTTATAAGTTATTTTTAAATTATTTTAATATTTTATATTATTTTATTTAATAACTTATTTGTTATTTAGTATAAGTATATATCAAAACATATAAAATAAACTTCTAATAATTACAGATTTTACCATATGTTAAATTGAAATTTAATGAAAGTTACATAATTGCAAAGAGGTCCTTGTACATAATCAAATTCCCAAAGCAAATGCCCAATTTAGAAGATGAATTCCAAATTTTTGAAATGCCCAATTTCAAAGATGGATTCCAGATTTTTCAAATGCCCGGTAACGCCATTTATCCAGCCTCGGCAGCCGGTTCTGGAATCACGGCGGACGGAGACGGCGACATGGAGGGTGGATACGCGACGTTGAGGGCGGAGATGGCAACCTCGCCGGGAATCGTCGAGCTAGATTTGGAAGGCGGCGGCAACGGATTTTGGACGAGGCCGTTAAGGAGGACGATATGGTAACGACGACGGGATTCCGACGGCGGCCATGGGTGGCGCCGACGAGGATTGGGTCACGGCGGACATGGGTGGCGGGTTTAGCGGTACGAAAGCGGCGGCTTTATCGGCTGCGAACGTCACTCAGACACGGCGCCTGCGGGAGTCTGTGCGACGGCGCGTCACGAAAGTCCGGCGAAATTACTGTGTGTGCGTCCATGGAATTACTGTGTGTATGTGTTTGACGGCGGTGTGTGTGAGGTGTGTTTGAGAGAAAGGGGGAACGAGAGAGAGAGAGAGAGAAAGGGAGGTGTCCCACGTGAGTTGGTGTGGGGGATGTGGATCATAGTGTAGGTTTAGATAATTACTGCATTACCCTTAATGAATGTATAATTTTGACTTTTTTTAGCCATTAGATCGAATGATCTAATGGCTACTATTTATTCTTATTTCTTTCATTGAGAACCATTCTCATGTGAACCCAACCCATTATATATTTATTATGACACTTTTTATTTGTGCAACTTACTTGTGTTATATTATACTAATTTTTTTTTAATAATATATAACTACATTACATATAAATATATCAATTGAGAAATAATTTTATTTTTCTAATAAATTTTAATAAATATTATTATTTTTTATTATTATAAAGATAAATATAATTTATTTATTTCATATATACAATATGGATGTCAAATCGAAGATCATCAAAAGATGATTAATTTGATATATTATATATGTAAAACCGATAAGAAATACAAAAGTTATCAACTTTTAAAATACATATATAATTCAATAGCTTATTGAAGGAAACAAATCAAAATTCAGGGATATATTAGTCACTTAGTGCCTCACTATCTAAAATCTATCTATATATTAAAAGAATAACCTTTTAAGATATTTGGCGCCGATTTTACAAAACACCCGCTAATCTCATAAAAAGTGTCTTAAAAATAGATATTGTTGGAAATTTATGAATAGGGAAATAAATTGGCTGATTTATTGGGATAACGTACATCGAATAAATCTTATCCCATCTTTAATTCCTATTATATACATTCCTATAAATTTTAAAAATCTCATCTCTTATCTATTTATTCTAACATATTTTTT